GATCATTAGATTTCATCCTGGACACTACAGAAAATGGGCTAAAAGTGTTAAAAACCGGAATTTTCCTTTAACATCATTATCAGTGACAAAGCTTCACCTTGATGAAGGATCTCAGGTAATGTTCCAGTCCCTCCTCGTGGCACTGTGCCACTACATGAACCATAACCCTAAAAAACACAAATAGGGGGAAGAGTGAGAAAGGAAAGAGTGCCTCATATTTCCATCTATTGTGATAAAAAATGTTAGCATGTGTTGAATTTATACGAAAATGGCTAACGCAGCTTTTTCCCAGTGCATCAGCGTATGGTCCTTGCCTGGTAACGTTGACGGCCACGTCCTCGTGTGTCGCCCTGGTGAGGACGGAGAACAGCTGGTTGAGGATGGTGGGCAGAAAGTTGACCATCACATGACCTTCCATTGCATGAAGGCTCTAAAACGGAGAAAATCGAAAAAATAGAAGTCATCTCTCCAAACCTTGTCTATATGTATATTTGCCTTCAGGCAAAAGAGCCAATGCATCTCATAGTAGCTCATATTACCTTCAGGTATTTAATCAGCTCCCCCTCTGAAGCTTGCTCTGACATGTCCATGCTTTGACAGTGTTGGAAGAAGTTGTGCAGATGCTGATCCTGGTGAAAACATGGTAATACATTATGTAGAAGGATTTACCTTATCTAGTCAACCCTGCAGTGACTTAGCAGATAAACACAATTAGATTAAAGATGAGGCCAGAGTGTTTACCTGGGTGTAAACTGTAGAAACAAGATGGGTAGAGACTGAGAACAGCGGTTTGCCTCCATCTACCCATTTAATCTCAGAGCCAGACTGCTGCAGGGATAAATAGATATAAATCACTGTGCTGCACACTGATCAATGATAAATCTACTCCTTAAATTGGAAGCAAAGGAGAGCAAAATACTCACAAGGAGCTGTGCCCAAAATAAAAAAAAATCCTTCAATATTAACATATATTTATCCTCAATATTATCTGCTCATAGTATACTCCATACTTTATATGTTAAAATAAGAGAAGCGCTGCTGACACTTAGCGAAAGCTTAGTTAACATAACTGTTGACAAGAATTATTTAGTTATGTTTTTCTCATCTATGCCAGTGTTTTTTTTTTTTTGTTTAACAAATAAAGCCTTAGAAATAAAAATATTTTTAAACATTTAGTGAAGCAAAAACTCATTTTTTCTTCACAGATAAACACTTTTTACTGCAGCCTAACCCTAAAAACAAACACTTTCTAATATCATTGAGGTGTTTTATTTGGACATTTACCATCTCCCACCAGCAGGTGGTGCCAATAATTCAGTCTTTTGGCTTAAAATACTGCTAGTTAGGCTGTTAATCAGCATAAACCTTTGAAAAAAATGAAACCTTTAAACAAGGTTTGTGTTTAGATTATTAATTTAGCTAAGCAATACCAGATACTGTTTGTCAAACTACAAAATAAAAGCTCCCAAAAACAAAAAAGATGAAACATTACACCAAACATTGATCATTTTTGGACTCGCAACAAAAACAACACATTGTGAGAATAAAGTTTTTAGTTAGCTTTTAAAAAAGGTCAACTTTTCATGGTGTGTGAGATTAATGAATTATTATTATTATGAAAGATAATATAATATTGCTAGCCTAATCAGGTTTAAATTTGATTGGCTATGTCTTTAAAATAAGGTTATTAATCTATAAATTGGTGAGACAATAAACAAAAGCTAAATTCAAATATTAAACATAACTAAAAATGTTTAATTCTCTTTAGTGGTATAATTCTGAGCCACAAAGTCTTATATCAGTAGAAGTAATAACATCTTTGTAATGTAGCTAACATTACTGTAAAAAAAATATAATGTTTTATATATGGACGCATGTTAAAGAACATCCTTCTAATTTTCTTTTTTAATAGATTAAGAAAAACCAACCAGTTAGTTTTATCTCATTTTTGTTAGAAAATTGCATTCATCCTGCCTTCATAAATAAAAAAATAAATTTAAAAAAATGTTACGAAAATATTGGAAAACCTGTTAAAGTTTTTGAACATTTTAGAAAAACAGAATAAGAATAAGAAATTTCATAAAGTGTTAATATTTTATTTAATGCTTGGCTAAAAAACTTTTGAAAAAGTTTTGAAAGCCTGTGTTTCATAAATAGTTGGGTCCATTAAAACAAATTAACTTTCTGCTTCCTTTACAATTACATATTTATTTGAAACTTTTCAATTAGTGAAACACTTAGTGGTTTATTTTCTTGCTGCAGTTCTTACTTATCTTACTCCAAAGCAGAGAAAATTAATGGCATTCAGACAAAACTGTACAGAAAAAAATCTATTTTCTTCCTTTCTTCCAAAAAGAAGAAACATAATAAAAAAAATAAAAATGCTAAAGCTGTAGATGCCTATGAAGGACATGCTGGTGTATTATTTACTTAAAGCAGCTGATCTACCTTCACCACTGAAGCATAAGGCAGATACACAGCTGCAGCAGATGGGGGGGTTAACTATAAGACACTTTAGCTGAGATTAGAAAATGGCTTTAATCAAATTAATAACAAAGCAGACCTACATCAAAGACTTCAGAGGATGCCTTGTAAAAAAGCCTCCAGGACCTGCATAATGTCCCAATCCAATCTCAGCTAACAAGATTTTAACCTTGAAATGAATGTAACACAAAGAGGGTCCGCCTAATTGCATTTTTGATATTTAAGGCCTGAATGCAGATTAATTTGTCGAGATTTCTTTGCATCTGAAGAATCAAACACTGACATCATCTTTCCTTCTAATAACATCTCACTACTTTTACCTTGTTGACTCCATCATGGGAGCTAAGATACCCAGGAGGGAGATTTGCAGCCACAGGTAGCTGCTGTTCATTCATGATGACTCTCCCACCATCCCTCAGGAGTGCCAACCAAGCTGAACCCACTGAAGACAAATAGAACAAAGATGCACGTCCAGTAGTACCACTTATGAAGTAATAGGGTGAACCAGCCTGATATTATGCATTAGACACCAATGATTATGCATTTAACCCTCTCCAGGCAGATGTTGCAGATTTGCAACTGCTAAATGCTACTTAGCTAATTACTCCA